TCCAATAATTTTATTGGTTAAGTCTGTGTGGTGTCTGAATAACAGCGCAAATAAATTTTTTTTCGTAAAAAAATTCATTTTTTTGAAAATTTTTGCCCGTTTGACCTTGAAATAAAGGTCAAAGGTCAAATCCAAGGGCATATTTGAAATCTACACATATGACTTTTGGAAAGCCGTCTGTAGAAATTTTTCCCATAATTCCTTCCGTAGGGTAGATAATTAGCATTTAATTTTGCCATTTTTGGACAAGGGTGCATTGCAATGAGTGCCACACCTAGACCCCAATACCGATAAAGCCCAAATTTTACGTGGAACGAGTTGAGATTATAGGTGACCTAAATCCAAGAGATGGGTATGGGGGCCCTTACCGTCTAGGAGGAGAAGCGGTAACGGTAACATGGCGGCGGAGCCGGCGGAGCCGCAGGAGCCGGCGGAGCCGGCGGAACGGACCGGACGGGACCAAAACCATGTGTACCGCCAGCGCTAACGCTGGTGGTACAATAACATTCCATCAAGTATCACTTGCTTATCTGTGAAACCTGAATGTTTTCTTTTGACAAAATTCCATTAAGATGTTTTCATGTACATCAAATTATATTCCACCAACAACTGGTAAGAGTTATGAACGCAACTTCAGACCCAAATCAGGTCAGGTCTTTGGTGTGAATGCAACATATTCACGAGTGGGATTTTACATTGCATGCCATGAAAAACCACAGGGGAACAACAACTGTTAGAATCAGGAAATCTGATCATTTTTTAGCTTTCACAAAACAACTCTAAGCTTTTGGGGATTGCTTTAATACTATGGCTCACTGAACTTTTCATCCCCCCCCCCCCTCCGAATCCTACGGCTGTGCTCTTTCCCATTTCTAGAAAATAAAGCATCCAAGAGAAAACAAAAAACAGTAAAATAAGAGGTGGCATAATTAGTGCAAGGTAAAGCTAGGTTTTTGTGGGCTAGATAATTAATTCTTACTTTTCCATGTATCACAATCAAAGTGTGAGGTGACTAAATTGAAATTATCTATTGGCATGAACATAAATAACCCTGAATTTATAGGTAAAGATATCAAAATATCTAGAAAATACCAATACGGAAGATGTTTTTCGCTGTTGCTGTCTGTGTCACAGCTTGCACAGATAATGCCAGCAGTGCAATGTAATTCATTTCTTTTTTATCACCATTGTTATATCAAGAGAGAGAGAGAGAGAGAGAGAGAGAGAGAACAGATAACAATAAAAACAATTCCCATTGTCATAACTCGGTAAACAAATCACCAAGTTCTATAATTATAAACAAAACAAAAAAAAAACTGGATCAAACAGACACTGCCTAAAAAACAAAACAAACAAACAAACAAAAAAATAAATGAAATAGAAAACGACAAAAAGAACTCACCCTATCAAGTCCAGCACCGAATCCTTAACCAGAAAAACGCCAGCAATTGACTAATCACCAGCGTAAGACAACAAGTCAATACCTTCTGCAGCCCCCAGTGTAATGTTAACACTATGTCAACACACAGTTTTATAAGAACTCCAGTCAGTGAGAACTGTTAGCAATAATAACACAGATACTTAATAGAACAGCACACCTGTCAATATACAACTTAACTTTGGTCAATACTTGAAACAAGTAGGTACAAGCACGAGAAGAGGCACAATCGATGTATTATAGACCTTTTTACAAGGCGAGTTCTAACACAGGCTCAAGAAAAAAAAAAAAAGGTGAGGTTTGGAGAATCAGGATATAAATGTTTGTTGTGGTAAAATATAAGGACTGATTTGATACCATGCAAACTGGTTTTACTATACGTGATAGCCTCTGAAAAATTCTGCCAGTAGCAAAGAAGGTTATTTTTATTGTTGTTATCATTATAATATCATTTTTATTCTTAATTTCTAGGTGAATAGGCAGTTAATACAACTAAATTTGATGTAAAGGTGTTAAGTTTTTAGCTGCCCAGCAAATTTTAAGTAATTTTAAGTAAAATCTTAGCCATGATTTCAATTCCAGAAAATGTTCTAATTACGGATGTCGGAAAATAGTGCTCCTCTTTGCTAGTCTGGCATAGAAAAAAAGAGTGTACCTCCTCACTGTAATAAATGGTCATCACCAAAATAAAACCTACATCTAAATCAATTTCAGTAATATATATATATATATATATATAATGGTTGAACAAACCAAAAGTCCTGTTAAGAGTTGGTCCAGGTTCGAATCAGGCAAAGCCAGAAAGCCAAGTATAAGTTGGCTGCATTAATCGAACAGAAACCCCATTTGTTTTGACAAGATCGGGAAACACAAGCTTGAGGTCATCAGGCATACAAATAAAATATTGACTAATACTGCACTGGTCGAACAGACCAAAAATACATATGAGAAATGATACTTCGAAACCCTTCACAATTACTTGTCAGCCTACGACTGTTTTGATAACAACTCACCCCAATACCTTGACATTAATTGCTGTGTGAGAAAGAATCAGGAACGTAG